AACAAACAAACAAAATAACTATTTAAAAAATAAAATAAAAATGCTTCTATCATCCATTTTCCTGCCTTCCCACATCAGTAAGAGTTGGGTAGCACTGTGATCTTTCCTACTGCTACCGAGATGATACACAACCTTTTTCTCAAGATCACATGAGTCTCTTGAGCCTTTTACATCCAGTGAACACTCAGGAGTAGATGCAACTAGCCTCATGCATGCACCCAGTCCCACCTCTGCGACAAAGAAAGGCTTTGGGCTCAGGAGAGTTGACAGAGGCCATGTGAAGAAGGGGCTGAGGGTGGCTGGGGTTCTGATTTCACGTAAATTTCCCAGGGTGGCGTGTTCCAGTCTCCCCAGTCCTGACCCCGGCATCATGCATCGGACTACACGGATTAAAATCACAGAGCTGAACCCTCACCTCATGTGTGCCCTCTGTGGGGGCTACTTCATTGATGCTACTACTATCGTGGAGTGCTTGCATTCTTGTGAGTTGGGCACAGAGGTGTCCAGGTGGAGGGGTATTGCCTGGGAAGGTGAAACAACCCCGACTGCTCTGCAGAGCAGACCCTGGGTCACTGAGGGACTGCCAGGGAGAGATAAGGTTGGGGGTGCTCCTGGGCCCAGAAGTTCATTCCAGGGACAACATCTGAAATCTCAGCTCGCTTTGGAATCTCTGGCTGAAGTATGGCCCCTCAAGAGCCAGGCGTTGGGAGCTGGAGAGATGGTTTAGTGGTTAAGAACAGTTGTTGTTCTTCCAAAAGACCTGGGTTCGATTCCCAGCACCCACATGGTGGTTAACAACTATCTGTAACTCCTTTTTCTGGCTTCTGTGGGCACTGCATACATGATGCACTTACATATATTCAGGCAAACATACACATAAAATAAAAATAATAAATAAAATACTTTTAAAAAGATTCAGGGATCACTTATTTGTGCTGTTGGGTTGGTTGCAAGAGATCCAGGGCTGGTGAGATGTCTTACCAGGCTTGCCCAGAGGGGCCTGGGTCTTGGTCCACTTTATATGTTGGTCAGGACACCACCGTATCTCACAGACGGGGCCCATCTTTCCCCAAGGATGGACAAGAAGTAGTGGTGGGGTATGTAAAAGGCACATTGCCATGTTGGGGCCTGTGGAGTCCTGAACTGCTGGGCCACAGTAGAGGGGAAGCCCAAATGTGAGAAGAGGCCTGGGGTGGGAAGGGGCTCTGATTGTCTTCTTTCTATCCACACCCCAAAGTCTGCAAAACCTGCATTGTGCGCTACCTGGAGACCAACAAATACTGCCCCATGTGTGATGTGCAGGTCCATAAAACCCGACCGCTGTTGAGCATCAGGTGGGCCTGGCACTGCTCTGGGGCTGTTCCCTCTGTCCCTTAACCCTGCCTCCCAGTGGCTTCTATTTTGGCATGGGCTAAGAAATACTAGATGGACTGTAATCAGAGCAAGGATATGCATGCCTAGGTGTGGGGTCTGAAAAAGGGGTGCAAAGGGGATCCCCGGCTGGGGAGATGAGGATGCTGCAACTGCTAACATACTCCTGTACATTCTTTCCCAGATCCGACAAAACCCTTCAGGACATTGTCTACAAGTTGGTACCTGGGCTGTTTAAAGGTATCTTGAGTCACTGTGTTGTCCTGCCACCATTTCCCCTTTTCCAAGTTGTTTCCCTCTCATGTCTGCCTTCCTTTCTGTAGATGAGATGAAACGGCGTCGGGACTTCTATGCAGCATACCCCCTGACAGAGGGTGAGTATGTTCACACTCACACCCATGAGCATGCTCTGGGGCCTGGGACTATGTGAGTGCCTTGGGCTGCCTCAGGTGTGAGGACTGACTGTGCTAAGCTGCAGCTCCCACTGACCCTCCCACCTCTACTAGGCCTGCCTTCTCCTTGCTGGAGAGTGCTGCCCAGAGTGGGCAGGGCTTACCCTCTTAGCTACTCATCCCTTACCCCTGGGTCCTCAGTTTCTTGCCCCATCTTTGGCCAACTCCTCTTGAGCTATCTCCTTTTGCAGTCCCCAATGGTTCCAACGAGGACCGTGGCGAGGTCCTAGAGCAGGAGAAAGGGGCTCTGGGCGATGATGAGATTGTCAGCCTCTCCATTGAATTCTACGAAGGAGTCAGGCAAGTCTAACAAGGGCCCAGCCCTTTGGGCTCCTAGCCCAGGTCACCCACTTTCCCACCTTGGCCCATCACCCAAGACCCCACAAGACATGTGCATTTGGGGATCCAGCCTGCCTCAGAGTCTCTGGTTTCTTTCTCTCTCCTCCAGGGACCGGGAGGAGAAGAAGGGCCTGATGGAGAATGGGGATGGGGACAAGGAGAAGGTGAGTGCTGGGGTCTGCCCAGGAGTAAGCTATGGGCTGGGAGAGAGTGGCCTGGGGTGGACCCCCTCATGGGGGCCTCTCCCCCAGCAGACAGGGGTGCGCTTCCTGCGATGCCCGGCAGCCATGACCGTCATGCACCTTGCCAAGTTCCTCCGAAACAAGATGGATGTGCCCAGCAAATACAAGGCGAGTACCTGAGCCTTCTCAGACAGTGAGGGTCTGTGGATGTGTCTGTTGGTAGGCACCCCAGCCATTGCTCAGGCCTGTATGGGGGCTACCCAGGGTGACATAGTTATGTAACTGGCTCTATGAAAAGGGTAGCCTAACTCAAAAAAGATTTGGGCAAAACTTGAAATCAGTGTGCAGAGTGCTTGAGATCAGGGATGCATGCTTGCTCACCTAGTACACAGAACTGGAAGAGGTGTGTCTGCCCCAAATGGTGGGCCTTCACTAGGGTCAGCATCTGTGAGAAGGCCCAAGAGCTCTGGGACACAGTTCCATAAACCCATAGGAGCACAGGATCCCCTGGAGGGCTGGTAAACATGCAGTCTGTGGTACAGTTTGGCCAGCTCTTAGGTGCTGCTCCTTTGAAGGCCTTATTCAGCCCACACTTGGGGTAAAGATAGTAAACTCTTGCATTCACTGGTTAAGTCGGATGCAGGAATGTCTAAGATCTCTTTGTGGTTCCCTTGAGGGCACAGGCAAGAGCCTTGGTCAAGCAGGTCCCCTTGGCCTTGCTGACATTCTAGGAGACTTACAGAGAGAAGAGGACCCTCTGACAGCTGGCAGGCGCTGGCATTCCTTCCCATCTGTTGTCTGGGTATTACATTGGGACAATTCTGGAAGGGAAGTTACACTCACAGTGAAAGACCTGCAAAACCTCCTGAAGTTCACCTTTGATATCACCCACCTCCAACCCCCAAGACTACTGGCCTGGGAAGGAGCCTGCAGCTGGCCAGGCCTCACAGTATCCTTCCTTTCCTCCAGGTGGAGGTTCTCTATGAGGATGAGCCCCTGAAGGAATATTACACCCTCATGGACATCGCCTACATCTACCCCTGGCGGAGGGTGAGCCTATGGGCAGGGTGGGAATAGCCACAGGGAAGAGAGGCCCTATAGGGCCTAGCATTGGTCAGTGGCCACAGTGTGACATGAGCCATCCTTATGGCATATCCATGCAGGTCGGCTCTAGACCAACTGTTTTGTTTTGAGATAGGGTCTTCCCCCTAGCTGGCCTAGAACTTGGTATAAAGTCTAGGCTGGCCTTGAGCTCAAGGGGGTCCCCCTTACTTGGCCTCCCCTGGCCATTAGCACCCAGCTTGGGGTCAGCAGTAGGAGTGGCTCCTGTGGAGTCTGGTACCTTCTACATTCTATCATCTTTCTTTTTTAAATCTTCTCTAGTTCGCTTTTACTCTTGCTTCACTGGGTTGGTGTCCCTGTATCTGACTGGCTTTGTCTTCACTCTTCAGGGTCTTTCTTCAAGGCTCACACCTTCCCTTTGCTCCTGTTGGGCCCTGGTGGGGTGTAGGGATGAGTGGGCCCTGGTGTGCCTTTCTGCTGACACCCTCCCTTCCCTGCCTCTGGCTTCTTCCCTCTCGCCACAGAATGGGCCTCTTCCCCTTAAGTACCGTGTCCAGCCAGCCTGCAAGAGGCTCACCCTGCCCACAGTGCCCACTCCCTCCGAGGGCACCAACACCAGTGGGGCATCAGAGTGTGAGTCAATCAGCGACAAGGCTCCCAGCCCTGCTACCCTGCCAGCCACCTCCTCCTCCCTGCCCAGCCCTGCGACCCCCTCCCATGGGTCTCCCAGCTCCCATGGTCCCCCAGCCACCCACCCCACCTCCCCAACTCCGACTTCAACCACCAGTGGGACCAACACAACTAATGGGGGCTCCTCGAACTGCCTGCAGACGCCATCCTCCACCAGCAGGGGGCGCAAGATGACTGTTAACGGAGCTCCTTGCCCCCCTTAACTTGAGGAAAGGGGACCCTTTGCAGCCACCTCTATGTCCCCACATTTTCTGGGCCCCTTTTTCCATCTGTTTGACTTTACCCAGTTCCTCCCATCTTAGGGGTGGGAAGTGGGTTTTATAAATAAATCTCTCTATATATATGTACATAGGAAAAACCAAATATACATACTTATTTTCTATGAACCAATCAGATTAATTTAAATGCCACAGGAAACAAACTGTATGTGTGTGTGTATGTATGTGTGGGGGTGTTCATGTCTTGGAGAGGTCTTGTGTAATTTGCTCTGCTCTTTTGGGGGGTACCTGGTGGTCTTGAGGTCACTGGAGGCAGTAAAGCCCTAATCAGTGTTCCCTCTGCTTCCCAAGGTAGAGGGGATATTGGGGCTCCTAGTCCTAGCTGACTGGATATGGAATCCACCATTTGTCTATCCATCTTGGCTGTTCCCTGCCCCTGTCCAAGGCCCCCCATCATTGAATGTTCAGAGAATTGCTAAGATAGTGCCTTTTACAAGTGCAGTTTGTCCCCTGGCTCTGAGGCTGTGGAGAAGGCATCTCCCTCACCTCCTTGGACAGTGGAAACTTTGTGCAAAGAATATATAGTTCTGCCTCCCTGCCCTGTCCCCTTTTTTCTTATTTGGCTTTTGCATTGTTTACCTTGTGGAAGAGATGATTGAGGCCATAGGAGGCCCCAGCCCTGCAAAGTCCATGTGTGACCCTGGCATTGTGAAGCAATGACTGGAGGTAAAACTCACTGGGGGCCTGGAGTGGAGAGGTGACTAACTTTAGACAAGCACAGACCCAAGTTTTGCCAAAGTCCCAACAGCCCTCCAGTCCACTTCCCCACCCCCAGCTGAGGCCGAGCCAGGATAGAACAGAGGCATCTAGAAGCACAAGAAAACAAAGTGTAAGCTGACCCGGACTCGATCTGAGAGGGTAGTAGACCACCCTTGAGCGGCAGACCTTGGCCATCTGGTTTTCCTCAAATGTACATAGATCTGGGGAAATTGAGGATGCCGAGGCTCTTGGCCCAGGTATGTAGGGTTGAGCTCCCATGGGTCTGCTTGCACCTTGTCCTGAGTCTAAGGTTGTGTGACCATATCCTGCCCTGGGTCATTTGTATCTCTTGGCTTTGTAATAAATGCTGCATACTCTCTTGAGCCTGTGGTTCTTTGGGGGCAAAGGGAGGGGGTTAGGTGAGGTGCTCCCCAACCTTACCATGCCCTTTGTCCCTGGACACAGCCTGGCACAGGGATCCAATCAGATGGATCTGAACTGCCCCTCTGTGGCCCGCCACATGCCCTCTGCCTTCACAGGCCAAACTCTAGCAGGAGACAGTGTGCACCTTGCCAATGACCACAGGAACATAGCTCTGGGTGAGCATCATTGTTTAATGCCACCTGTACTAGCAGGTGCTGACCCAGGGACCTGCTCCCAGCTGCCTGACTGGAGTGCACTGGTTCCTGGGAACAACTGCTAAACAAGTAGCTGTGATGCCAGGATGCTCCCTTCCTGGGCTCAGCACCTTTGCCTTCTCCACAAAAGAAGCCTACCAGGAACCTGGAGCCATCGCCACCCCTCAGAGTGGGGAGCCCAGTTCTGCCTTCTGAACCTTCTCACTCTTGTGGGCACCATCGCAGTAAGGGGGCCGCTGGGTGGCCTTGCAGGTACATAAGGCCACTGTGCGAGTCTCTTGGGCTTTGAACTTGAGTGGAGATAAGCCAGTGCGTTGGAAGAAGTGGGAGCCATCACAGAAGGGCTGGTGGGAGAGAAAAAGAAGTCAGACCTGTCCCCACTTACTGATGGGTAGGTCTCCTGAGCAGTGGGGTGGGGAGGTCAAGTCTCAGGCTCAGTCATTCCCTCACCCTTGCAATGTGGAGGTCATAAGAGTAGGGCTATGGTAAGGGAATGGTCACTGGTTACTTGAATAGTATGTAATACTCGGATAGTATTACAAGTGTTTTCAATGTTTGTCTGTAGGGGACCCAGTTTTGCAAGTGGAACTGGACCTCAGGTAGGGCCAATATTAATACAAACAAGGTTGGAGGTTTTTGTTGTTGTTGGCCTTGCTGTAGCTCTGAATGGTCTGAAACTTGGTATGTAGACCAGGCCAGCCTCTAACTCACAGAGATCCTCCTGCCTCTGCCTCCTGAATACTGGATTAAAACCATGTGCCACCACACCCAGACCCAGCTTTATTGTTACATTTATTTATTGTGTGCACATGCACGCAAAAAGGTCACAGAACTTGGGAGTTGGTTCTCCTACTACCATGGATCAAACTCAGGTCTTCAGAGTTTGTGGCAAGGGCATTTGTCCACTGAGCCATCTTGCTAGTCCATTTTTTGTTTTTTACACAGGGTCTCATGTAATCCAGGCTGGCTGTGAACTGGCTCTGTAGCTGAGGATGACCTTGAATTCCTGATCCTCCTACCTCTACCTTCCCAGATGTATCTTACCACACTCTCTTTATGTGTTACTGGGGATAGAACTCTGGGCTTTGTGCAGATAAACATGCTACCAATTGAGCCACGTCTCTACCTCAGCTTTGTTTTGTTTTTGTTTTGTTTTGTGTTTTTGGTCTTTGTGAGACGGTCTCCCTGTAGCCCCAGCTGTCCTGGATTCACTATGGAGACCAGGCTGGCCTTCAACTCAGAGATCTGCCTGCCTCTGCCTCTGGAGTGTTGGGATTAAAGGCGTGCGCCACCATGCCCGGCTTGTTTTGTTTTTTAATGGCCAAGTCCCCATGAACCATGAAATTCACATGCTTCGAGTTCTCAGAGTGGTAAAGGGTTCCCATGGCGGGATCAGTTCTGTTTGGTTCCAGGAAACCAGTACATCATAGAGAGGGGATGCCCGCAACAAATTGCCTTCCTGGAATAGAAGTATTAATGTATGCCCCATGTTCCTCCAAGGAAGAGTTTAAGCAGAGACTGGGTGATGGAGACTGAGACCCAAAGAGGGGATAGGTCTTGTCACTTGTGGGTGGAGCTGGAGGAACTGAAGGAGTTGAGTGTACTGGTAAAACCCAGCAGCCTGCCATAAAGGGCATGGGGCAAGAGCATATATACCTACCCACCCATATGGACCACAGTGATCTGGCTGGCATGCCCTTGGAACTGCCCCACCCTCCAGAATATCTGCTCAAAGGTTAGAGCCTTGGGCCCTGGGTTGCTGATACCACCCACATGTCATGGAGGTACATTTCTGGGCTCTGCTCTATAAGGAAAGGGCAGGCTAAGACTATAGGCAAGGTTCTTGCTGAAAGCAGGGAGACGGGGCAGGGAGATGTCATGAGCAGGCAGAAAGTGGCAGGTAACCAGTAAAAAAATCACATGTAAGGTGAAAGGGGAGGATGGGAAGAGGCCTGGGGAAGACTGGGTGGTATTTTCCCAATGGTGGGGTCTGGAACATCAGCCTAGATGTTTCCTGGAAGGAGAGGGAAAGACAGGTAGGTCCTTGCTGCCTTGGAGCTGGAGCCCAGGAATATACAAGGGACTAAAAGAGGATACCGCACCCCAGCCAGCACAACACTATAGCAAGAGCTAACCACGCAGACAAGCTAGCCCATACATAGCCACACTTGGTGGCCCTGATCTGTTTGTTAGGCTTTTGTTCTTAAGCCCCCTCTTATATCTCAGGTATATACAGAAAAAAAGAGGAACATGGATGGAGAGTTCCCAGGATAGACCATGCTGAGCCAAGTGAGAGGGGGTGTGGAGGGGATAGCGGTGTGTGTCATTATCTATGGAAAAGCAACAGGAATCTTACCTGCTTCTTGCTGTGGCCACACACACACCACCTGTAGGTTTTCCCAGCCACCAGGTCCACCTTGATGGGCGTTTTCAGGGCCACCACTGACTTGGCTGGGCCTTTGGCAAACCATCGAGCCTATGGCCAAGGAAGATGAGGGGCTCAGGGTCATCCCAAAACCTGGAAGCACTTTTCTGCTTGGGGTTTTACTCCCAGTTTCCTGCTTGCCTAAGTGTGTGACAGGCTTCTTCTACGAGAGTCTCAGGTGATACCACCCAAGTACATTTCTACTCCCTAGGACACTTTAGGGACGCTGACTTCCAGACAGGGAAGAGGTTTCAAGGCCATGCAAGCCCTCAATTTGCAGAGTCCAACCACTTCCTTGAAATCCTGGGGTTTGGTTTAGGCAAACTGTCTCCAGCTCAGCCCAGAAGCTTGGCTCTTTGCCCTGTGACCTCTGCTCCACACAACCTTCCCTAGGCCTGTCCCAGTCTGTGGTCTCAGCCCTTGGAATCTGAGGAATTGGGAGGAGATGCCCCCCTCTTGAGGCGAGGATACTAGGGGTACTCACCAGCCAGGAGGAGATGCCCCGCCTCTGGCATACCTTCGGCGAGGAAGGCAGGCAGACGTGGTTTGGAAACAGGAAAATAAAATCAGTGAAGGGCACCCGCCGGAAGCCCATCTGGGAAGGAAAAAAGACCACTAGCCAAGGCGGCCTGGGAGAGACAAGAGGATTAGAAGGGTCACCAGGTAAGAGGCCTTCCCGGGCAGGTCTTGGCACCCTCTAGGTACTCAGTGATGAAGACTGCAACACAAAAGGGCCACGAGGGACGCGCGGAAGAGCGGGCCTGTCCGGCGGAGGCGGGGCCGAGTCGCTGGGGGTCACCGCAGCGGAGGGGACGCTCGCTCATCAAGGCTCTGCGCAGGGCCGCTGCAGAGGCTGGTCCCCACGCCCAGCGCGTCTCTGCGTCAGGATCGCCCCGCCCCCAGCCCGGATACCGCCCAGCTGCGCGCTTGCGCGCCCGGAGCGCGCGCGAGTGGGCTCGAGCGGGGTCGGTGTGGAGGCCCGGCAAGTGCCGCGGCTGCCCTGGGGTGCGCAGCCCCCCACCGGCGCCCCCTTGGATGGTACGTGTCCGCGGATGATGCGCCAGTGCCCTCTTCCCTCGCACTGTCCAAGGCAGCATGGGGACAGACCACCCAGCCAGTTGGTTCAAGTGCAGGCAAGGCCGGTCCGCTGAGTCGCAGGGCTAGGGGTCCCCTTCTTCACCTGCACCAGGAGTTCCGGTTTGGACTCTTTCGAGTACTGAAATTAGTGTCGCAGAGCACACCCAGGCCATCTCCCCAAGGCCCCCACAGTTGACAGCCCATCTTTCTCCAATAAAGCCAGACAAAGCGGGGTCTCTTTGGATTTCCTTTTTTTAGTAAAACATTCTTTTATTAAAAGAACAAGTGCTGTTTACGAACTGCCCTTCGTACAAATAACATCCGTTATACAAAGATACAAGACCCAGGTTATGCACAATTCCAGGCTTGGAGGTGACAGGGGAACATTGCCTTTTGGGCTGAGGATATAAAGGTTTCTGAAAGAATGAAAAAAGAGCCCCTGGGTTTGCAATCTGTGGCTTCCCCTCCCTGCTCCCCTAGGAAGGGTCTGCTACATGGAAACAGGCTGGGATGGAAAGGAGGGAGCCAGGGTCTGGGTGTCCAGTCCCAAATTGGGCTGGAAAAAGTGAAAACAGGAGAAATGGGCACTCCTCAGTTCCTAACTCTTCAGTAGATCAAGACAAAATGGTCGGGAGTCAGACACACTTGTAAATCCAGGTTGTAGTGCTAGAGGGAATGCCTGGCCCTATCTTCCTCCAAGTTCCCAGTTGAAGTTATCACCACCCCACTAGGCACCTCTCCCCAGGAAAATAAACTGCACTGGAGACCTGGAAGTCAGCTGCCTGCCTGCTACTCCCTCTGGCCCATCGTACTCCAAGGATGATCCTGGAAGCTGGCAGGAAGTCTGTCTTTGAAAACCTGTCAGCATTTCCAGTTTGGGAAAAGGGAAATATGAATGTTACCCCTTCTTGGGGTGCCCCTCATTTGTCTAGGCCCTTCCTATGCATCTAGGGTGGTTACTCCCTAGGTCTCAACACAGGAAAAAGGAAAAGGTCACCAGCCTCAAGATCAGGGGTAGCAGTAGACCCAGAAGCCTGAGGGGGAAACCCACAAGCTGGGGGTCCAGGGCAGGGGATACAACTCATTGTTTAAAAGGCAACCCTTAAAGTGTCATTGTCTATGGAGAGGATTCGTCAGCTCAGAGCTAAGACAGTCAGTGCTACATAGACACCTTCCCACCATGGGCACAGCCCTACATTCACACATGACCACACACATCACACACACAGGGACAGTCAGCCAACCCACCAGCTGCTTCTAAGAGGCCACACAGTGGGATATGGATGACCCAGAAGGCCAGATACTAAAGCTCATCACAGCTCTGTCAGTGAGTACCTGTCCCTCCTTGGCTTATAGCTGTCACCTGTGAAGCTAAGAGACAACTCCAATGATCCCTAAAAACAGATCCCTTAGAGCTCTGACACCCACCAGGGTTGACCCCTTAGCGGTACAGGCTCAGCATGCATCCTCACAGAGGGTGGTGACACTAAGCTCCACTCATGCATTCTCAGACTCTTATTTCCGCTCTGCAAACCACATCCTTCCCTTCCCCCAGACTGAGAATCTCAAATCTGCACCCCTTCTTACCCTGCACCAAACTCCGTCTCAAAAAATGGACTGAGGCTAGAAAGGCCTAGAAAGGTCTGAGGTCATTATGACTACCCTCCAGTATCCTGGTATCCTTTCTCCCAAGGATGGTTAGAGCTGTTCCTATGATGATGCTGCTGTACAGTAAGTGTCACATCTTCCCTCCTGTCCTAGTACAAGGAGCAGCACCAATCCATACATGGCCCAAAGTTCTTACCAAATTTAACCTAAAGGAGGAAAGGGGGCTTGAGAAAGCAGGAGACCAGAGCTCTGGAATCCAAGTGACTAGGGCTGGGGAGGGCAGAACTGTGCTGCATATCATCTGTTCCAGTGCACTGAATGGTTCCTACTCTACACAGCATGCCACAGATGGCCTTCCCAAAACATCAGAACAGGAACTACTTGGCTCTCAGTGGGCAGCCAGGAGGCAAGGGCGTGGGTGTGGATGAGCAAGTCTTCTAAGAATCTGAAGGTTATTTTGTTTTTCAGTAGCTTGGGGGCAGGGAGTTAAACAGGTTAACAGATGAAGAAGAATAAAATGCTGAGTTCTAGCATGTCTTTCTGACAGTATTTCTGAGGTCATCACAACTGCCTCCAAAAGCCCTTCCAAGTGCTTAAGAGTTTGCCTCTGGAGGGTCCCAACCCACCCTGCCCATCAACCAGCTCCCTGACATCTTACAAAGTCTTGTCAATGGGAATATTAATATTATTTTCCATATCAGAAAAAAAAACAGTTGAGCAGCACAGGCAAAAATATATCTGCACTACGTTTCTGTCATTGCCAAAAATATACACATCTTTTCTTTATTTAAAAAAAAACAAAAAACAAAACAAAACAAAAACCCCAATGACAACAAAAACCCAAACAGAAACACACCAAAATGCACACATGCAAAGAGACCCACAGACATGAGCATCAGGGAAAGCTGGGACTGACCCTCAGTCCTGGCCAGTGCAACTGATAGGGACACAGGCCTCCACTGCTGTGCTCCCATGACCCACTCAGCCTTTTTCACAAGGGCCCTGGGCAAACAGACTCTGCCACCCATTACACCTCAGAAAATAGCTGGTAGGCAAGAGGACAGTTATTAGCTTACAAAGGAGTGGAATACAAGAGGCAGACTAGATACTTCCAGAGGGAGACTTCTGCTGAAAGCAGTGGCACTTTACCCCCTCGTCTCTCCCCTCATCCCCTGTGCCAGGGAAGAAGGACCAAACTACCTCTCAAGGAGGAGGCCCTGAGAAGGAGTGGGATTCAGGGGAGGGAAGGCAGGATATTACCCTGATTCAAAGCCCCCAGCTCCCAGGTACTCTCCAATACTAGAGTATTGTTCTGGTTTTTAAAAAGTTAGCCATTCATGCCCTGGAAAGGGACCAGAGCTGGTGAGGGAGAGGAGGATAGAGGATACAAGAGCTAGGTGCTCCTATTCTGGTGTTGACTACTGCTCTATCCCTGCCCTTGACTGCCCCAGGTCCAGAGGAAGAGACAGACAGGCAAACAGACACACGCATACACATTCACGCTCTGTGGAGTCAGGCAGCTCCTTCTCCCCACCCTCGGCACTCCTCAAGCCAATAGTGCAAAAAGGGACAGGGTGCCAAGGACAGCGAGGAACTCCACCTCAGCCCCATCATGGGGCCCCAAGAGGTGCTATCCTGCCCTTCCTCAGCACCCCACATCTATGGGCTTCTACAAGCTCAGCTTGTGACCCTTGGCAGGGAGGGATTATGAGAAACAAAGGGATTCCTTCTGCCTTCTGCCCAGGTTGGGAAGAAACTGAAGGTCAAGTGGGGCCAGCCCTTTATCCATAAAGGATTTCCATACAGGGTCAGGCCCAGGGCCCACCCTCCACTCTCCCCATTCAAGTGCTGATCCGTTTTATGTGTTAAGTCCAACCAACCCTCCACTTTTTATGCCATGGCCCACTTTGCTTTCTTAGGGGCCCCTAGACATCTGCTAAGGAGGGCTCCTAGACATGCTTGGAGCCTGTCCTTCCCTGGACTCTCTCCTGAAGCAGCTGGCACAGCTAGGGAATGAGCCAGGTAGAAGAGCTCCCCTCCAGTCTTTGTTCTCAGAACCTGGGGCTCCCCGCACATACTCCTTGGGGATCAGCACAGGCTCTGGACCTAGCTCTCCAGTGTCTGGGCCCAGGTGCCCACTCCAGGCAAGGCCCCTCAAGCCATGTAGGGGTCAGCAGAGGCAGGGTAGATTTAGCCTTTTTCCTGGCTAGCTGAGGCTCCTTTGTCAGCAGTCTAGAAAGAGGAAGGGAAGCTTTGAATTTGAGGCATCTGGCCCTAATGGCCAGTTAAGAACAGTTCCATGAGGGGGGTAGGGAGAAAAGTTTCTTGTAGGTTTAGAAGAGAGAGCTAAGCCTCTGCTCAGGTCAGTGTGTTGAGGTGGGAAGTGCCAGCCAAAGCTGGCTTCCTGGGTACAGACTTGCCCTCCAAAGGAGGGCCTTTCCTTCTGCATTGGTCAGAAGGTTGTCTATTTTAAACTGGTGTGCTCAGAAAGGAAATCGTCTTTTAAATTGGTCCTTCCAACTAAAAAAGTTTTCTTTTAAACAATTTTTAATTACATTCATTTATTTATTGTGTGTGTGATGGTCAGAGGAACATTTTCTGGAGTCAGTTTTCTCATACTCTGAGTTACTGGGATCAAACCTAGGTGACTGAGCTTGACAGTAAGCACCTTTACCAGTAAGCTATCTCCTGGCCATGAAGGCTGTTTTCTAACTGGCCCTTTTATTACTGGCACTGGCTCACAGTGGGTTTTTGTGCCTCTGAAGGGCACCCCCATAGGAGCTGAGGTCCTGGTGTCTGAGCAGGGTGCCTGACTGACCCATGGATTGCTGCCTCCAGCTGTAGATGTTCTTGTGCCCATCCTCCTCTGCCTGTCCCTTAGAAGGCAGACAGAAAGGCCCCAGACCCCTCACTTACCCCTCCTTTGGGACCATTCCCGCTGGCATCCGCCCCTGGCAGGCTGAGAAAGGGGTTGGTCTGGGCAGTCAGGACTGGTGGTCCCCCTGCTGCTGCTACTGCTGCAGCTGCAGCTGCTGCAGCCATGAGACTTGTGTTGTTGCCAAGTGAGGGGGCCACCAGGGCTCCAGCGGGCAGCAGGGGTGGGGCCGATGCTGTGGGCAGCAGGCCAGGGGTGCCCGCAGACAGCAGTGGGGTGGAGCTTCCAGCCAGGAGGCTGGCCATAGGCAGCTGGGAGCCCCCAGCCATCTGTAGCCGCTGCAGCTCCCGTTTCTGCTGGATCTGCTGGATCATCTGGTAGACCATGGTCTGGTGCTCCTGCAAGGAGGACAGATAGCTCATGGACTGTAGGCCCCCGCTGTCCTTCCTGAAGGCTGCCTGCACTGCCAGGCTTGGGCCCTTTACACTGGACCCATGAGGCCCAAGATAAGGAGATGGTCAAGGTTCTGCCTATCTTCCCAATCTGGGCCTCAGTCTCCCCATCTGAACAAGAAAATAAATATACACTGTCAACAGGGTTCCTCAGACCAGAGTAAACATCTCTGACTCTGCCCACTGAATCAGGTTTTTAGTCCCTAAGATATGTACAAATGGCCCAGGGATGCTATGACCTCAAGTTGAAAAGCACTAAGCTAGGACAGTAATTTCCAAGTTTTTTTTTCTTTTCTCCAAAAATTGGTTTGCAAGAAGATTTAAAAAAAAAAAAAATTAGTTTTTGAGACAGCGCAGCGTCTCCGTAGTTCAGGCCTTGATGGTTTCTCTCTCCCAAGTGTTGGGATTATAGGCATGAGCCACCACACTCAATTTTTTCAATTTTTTTCTTTACATTTAAGAGGCATTTATTTTCATTTGAATAGGAAAAAAACATTCTCAGTGTCTCAAAAACCATATTAACTGAGTCTGGTAGTATAGGCCTTTAATCCCAGCACTTGGGAAGCAGTCAGGCAGATCTCTGTGAGTTCCAGGCCAGCCTGTTCTACATAGTGAGTTCCAGGCTAGCTAGGTATACATAGTTTACCTTAAGAAATTTTGCTACTATTTTTATTTCTATACAGTCCCTAAAATAACCAGTTGTTGAGTCTCCCCTACCGTATGGGTCCCAGGGATCAAATTCAGGTCATTGGGCTTGGCGGCAAGAGCCTTTACCTGCGGTTATCATGCCATCCATCCTTTTTTCCAGTGTAGTGTCTACGTATGTATGCATGTGTAAGACTTTCACTCTGTAGCTCTGAGTGGCCTAAAACTCCTTTTTTTCTAAAGAAAATCTTAGCAGAGCCCAACACATGAGACAGACCCCAAAACAGCTGGAAAAAGGGTTTCACCTGCTTGGATAACCTCCACTGAGACCCTGGAATTTCTCTAAAAGCCCCTGGTTCAGGGACTGAAAAGCTCAGTTACTGGACCTGCCACTCACCAGACTAATCACTGGGCTATGTGCCTCACAGTACCCTCTCCTAATGCCCAGGAAACTGTAAAAACAGTCTTGTTTTCTTACTGCTCACAAATCCTGCAGGTTCAATCCCACCAGCATGCAGCCCTTCCCAATACCATGGCTGCATCTTCAGAGGTGGGTTCTTTGGGTAGAGCTGGCAGGGGATGGCAAGGGAGGGAGCCACTCACCGGGGTCAGCTGTGAGGAGGCAAGAAGCTGCTGGAGCTGCTGAAGCTGCTGTTCTTGCTGCTGAAGGAGGTGTCTCTGCTGCTCGGTCAGGCTGGGGCAGGGACAACACACAGACCATGGAGTGGTGCAGAGAAGGAGAGGTGCACCCCACACCCATAAGCTCCCAGACTCCCTCAGACCCAGGTGAGGAAAGAGAGGAGCAGGGAGGTACCATGTTAGTGAACTGGGCTCAAGGGTGAAGTGGGAGGGACCCAAGTAAGATGGAAGACCTGTGCAGAAGGAAGACCTATAGTAGAGAAAGCTAAGACTTGTCCCCTGAACTACTCCCATCCAGATGCACTCAGGGCTAACAGTCTGGGGAGTCCCTACAGGTTAAGATATGGCCAGGACTATAAACCCTGTAGGGTTTACAGTAGAGCTAGAGGGCATGTTTTTCCTTTAGGGGTACTAGGGGTGTTTGGGGGAGTATCCCTCCCAGAGCCAGCCTCCCATTCCCTTCCCAGGGCTGAGCTCTCCCTCACCTGTTGAGACAACTTGGCAGCTGCAGTGTGGGGGCCCCGCCAGCCTGGCTCAAGCCCGCAGGGTTGGGAGCAGCAGCCCCATTCAACCCTCCCAGAAGCCCATTGAGGGGCAGGCCCCCACTGCCTGCCAGCCCACCCAACAGCCCCTCAGCCATGGGCATGGCCCCCAGACCCGTTGCCCCAGGTGCCCGCCCCAACCCATTCTGCGGCTGGGGCGGGACTGGGGCAGGGGCCCCAGGCAGGGCCAAGGGCAAAGTGGCAGGGCTCTGCTGGAGCAGGGGCAGCGGTGGGGGCGTGCTATGGAAGGACAGCGATGAGCTGCTGCGGCTCGGACAGCCTGAGTGTGGGTCCTGGGAAGGGAGGGGGAAGGGACAGGTCAGAGGGCAGAGGGCCAACATGACTTTTCTGGCCCCCAGCCCAGTACCCACAAGCATTCTCACAGAGCATAGCCTCCCAACCCAAGCCCCCAGACACCCTGGAGAAGCAGCAAGACCCAGGGATGAAGGGTAAGGATCCAAATAGTATTCACAGATGTTTACTGACCACTTCCTGGGGCCCAGCACCCTTTGTCACCCTGGTTTAATAACAAAACAATGGTAATGGCCATGACCTTCCAGGGAACTAGATTTATACTACTGCTTGATTCGTACTACCCTGTTATTCCCACGTTATGAGTAAAGCCATTGACTGCCAGGTTAAGGAACTCTGCAGCCAAGAGCTGCAGAGCGGAAGTGAGAGGTTCAGGTTCAAATCCCATGCTCATAAATCAATGCCTTGAGTTCACCCTCTGTCTTAGTTTATGTACTCATAAACTGGGAGGGATAGTAATATCCATTCTACAAGGTCACTGTGAAGACTGGCTAAAGAAACCAGTCTTTTAACAGTTTTAAAGCAAGCTTGCAACTAGTGTTATTTTTGTGATTATGACAGCCCCAAATCACACAGTTAATAAGTGGCAGAGAAAAAACAAGCACCCAGTTTGATTCCAATAACCACAACATAACAATAGCAACTGCTATTCCAACAGCCACCAATTACACAGGGATTAGTTTGTGTGAGGCACTGTAATAAACCCTTCACAAATACTTCTCAACACGCCTTCCCCAAGAAGGCCTTCCCCATTCTTCTACAGCCCTTGAGTTCATCTTTGTATTTCTCCTTTATTTGTTGTTTTCTTGAACTTAGCCTATCTTCAGGAAGCCTGGGTCTGTTTCGTTCACTGACTGCTTAGTCAGTGCCCTGAATTAAGTAGGCACCTTGTATATATTACTTATTAAAAATAATGAATGAGAGGATCAATCGTTGAGCCAATCCCTTTACTGGCCAGCCTCCAACAGCTGCTGGGTAGTGACTGAAACAGAAAAACCTTGACTCTCCGAGTTCCCCTTCCTGTCCCCCTCCTTACAGTGCCCACCTCGGAAGACGTGGACAGGGAGTTGTCCAGGCCAAGGCTGTTCTTCCCCGGAGGGCTCTTGCTGGTGCTCAAGGAGTCGCTGCTGCCGGCTGGAAGAGAGAAGTCGGGGGCTTCAGTGGAGCCAGTTCAAGCCATCAGGCAGGAACTCCCTATCCCAAGCTGGGCAGAATCCCCTCACCTTGAGGAGGCAAACCATAGGGCCCTGGGATAGGGCCATTTGTGGCAGGCAGAGCAGCAGGCAGGGCAGGGAAGGGCACAGAGAGCTGCACATTGAGGATCTGTAGTCGCTCCTTCTTGGCTGTCAGGCTTAGGATCTGCTCCTGTAGCCGCTGGTTTTCCTTCTGCAGTGCATGCAGCGCCTTGAGCATCTCCACAACTAGGGAGAGAGGAGCCTGAGGTCAGGGCAGTACCAGGGTGGGGCCAGAGGGGAGGGGTGGAGTCTGAGAGGAAATGAGAAGCTGCTCCATAGGAGGACCCTGATGTTCCATGGAGATCAGGAGGAATGGGTGCAACCCTGGCATTGGTGAAGTGTGTGCCAGGAGGCCAAGGCCAAAGGCAAGGTACAGAATGAGGGGCCTGAGCACCACTTAGGCAAGGTTAAAGGTGAGCCCTAGGGTCAGTGACAACGCCAGTAAAGAGGTTTGAGGCCCTGAGAAGGGGTGGCTAAGTTAGGTCTCCCAGCCCTGTGCCACCCTCCTCACTGTTGACGCCGGCCTCGCCATTGCCCTGTTTCTCCAGCAGTTGCTCCATGTTAGTTGTTCCTGGGGCTGCAGGGTCTAACTGGCCACCCCCACAGGGTGCAGGTGTTGTCTGGTCAAAGAGCGCAGGGAGGCTACTGATAGGAGACCTAAGGCCAGAGGAGAGATAGGCTCGGGCTCACCTAATGCTCTAATTCTAGGCTTCCCTCACCCCCGAGGGGTCCCCATCATGTCCCTTGCCCGCCTCTCCCCCACAGAAGGCACCCCCCTCCCTCACATGGAAGACAGACTCTCCTGAGGGGAGGTCCCATGACACCGGAAACTGCAGTCCTCCAGGTCTGGCTCTTGGAAGGAGAAGGGAGGACAGGGATCAGTGGGAGTGGAGGATCATCTACTTCAGGGTCCTCCCCAGGAAGTGGGTGCTGGTCCTGGGACCTCAGCACATACCCTCTTCCTCAGGATCCCCCAATCCTAGATTGGCAACTCATGCTGGTAAGGAGCTGGGAGCTGTAGCTTGGAATCCCCATCCTTTGGGAAGCTCTCTTCCACTTTCTCAAGGGCTTCTGTTGCCTGCCTATTTCCAGATCCTCTACCTAATTTCTTTCTTGGGAACCTCAGTTAAAGAAATTTGAGGTCATGACAAACCTGGATTGACTGAACCTGGTATTAACTTGCTATGTGACCTTGGGCTGGTAACCAGCTTCCCTGCAGTGATTGTTACTAGGATTAAAATAAGGTCATAAATGTGAAGTGTTGGGCTGGAGGGTTTAGCTGCATACAGCAAGCCCTTAATCATTGTATTAACATAATTTGCTTTGTATAACTTTTTATATTCATAGACTCTCAAGTCAGATGGCAAAACTGTTGGGCCACAGAACCTGCTCTGTGTTATAGAAAATATACTCATTCTACCCTACCGGATCTTGGAACTAGAGTCAAATGTGGCTTCTTTAAGAAGGCTCACCTGAACTGGCAGTCTGTAGCTAAGGCCCACCCCCTACACTGATAGGTGGTGTCTTGGCACCACTCAGCTCTCCAGAGGTGAGCTGACTCCAGGGAGAAGGTAGGGGGAGCCGGGGCAACCATCCCTTTAACTTGTAAATACCAGGAGACCAGGATGCCCAGCTGGCACAACCTCTGTGACAGCTGACCACAAGTGCACACGAAGAGGGAAGGGTGGTAAGAGTGTCGGGCTGGCATCAAAAAGGGTTTGATCTAGCTTTGCCACTCCCTACCTACTGCCTTGAGCAAATCACTTCTGTTCTCTGGGATGGAGCAGTAACTGCCATGCCTGCCCCCTACACTGGGTTTTCATGTGAAAGTGTTCCCTACTTTATAGTATGTGAAGTAAGTTAGTTTTGGTAGAGTAGGTATCAGCCAGAGGGAGAGGACTCCTAGCCTTTCTGGCATCACATCCTTCAGGCCATTGGGAAGAAAGGGGGAAACAGGGTCAGGTGCTTGCATACCTGTGTGACTGCTCTCAGCTTGGGTGAGGAGGGGGTTCACGGTGCCCATGGGGGTTCCAAAGATGTTGGAAGAAGGAAGGCTGAAGGTAGAGCCAGCCAGAGAAAACACCTGTGGCAAGGAACAGAATCTAGCCTAGGGCTTATTTCTTGGATCTAACACATAACTGTGCTGGGGTGGTGGGCAACAAGACGAACTAACAAGAGAGTACCAGAGATGGAGAAGTTCTGTCCCCCACATGCCCAGGAAAGGAGGAACCAGGAGCAAGGCCTCACCTGAGTGGTGGAAATGGAAGCAGAGGAGGAAGGGAGGGTGCTGGTGAATGGGGAACGGCTGAGGCGGGGCAAAGCTGAGGTCCCTGGTGGCCCCAGCAAGCTGGAAGAGAGTGGGGTGCTGCATACAGCCCGTAGCATCCCTCCACCATGGGAGATGGGATCTTTATTACTGGTGTAGATGCCTAAAGACACAAAGACACAGAGGGGAGCCTAAGGTCTCCCTCCATCCCACACAGCTGCTGAGGCAGCCCCTTTTCAGGGAACATGACATGCCTATAGCTCTGATCATACACAGTCTACTACACTTCCCTGCCTCAGTGGGGGAATTTCTCAGTTTTTCTTATTCTCCTTCCAGAACTCTGTCTCACTGAAGTCTACCCTAACCTCTTCCTGCAGAAGACATCTGAGGGACTGTCTTAAGAGGTAATGGTCACCTTCTTTTTCTCTCTGTCCTTTGGAGCAATTTCTACCCAACCGCATT